AGACGATCGAGAAGATTCCACGTCTCATCATGTTGTCAGCGATCACTACGGCCGTGCAAACCCGTAAACCGGAAATTATTGCTGTCAAACTGAACTTCCCCATCAATATGCAAAACAGAATAGGACTACATGTTCACCATGAGAGTAGATTTCCAGAACAAAATAAGGCCAATACAGGATGGATCACTGGCCACATATAAGCATCCCATCATTCCTAGACGAAGTTTTAGAGACTCAACACGGGGAAGATGAGATCAGGATCTTGCTGAGCAACTAAATGCTCAACGGCCTGGACTGTCCGGGGGTTCCCAAGCCCCCGACAGTTCCAACATAAATTTTTTAAAAGGCTAGCCGAGGCTGGTCCCCAACCTTCGCCGAATCAGAGATAGAGTTAATGGATTTGTCAATGGTATCACCTAAGGCTCCTGCCAGATTAACACACAGCCGACTCTTCTTCGGAATCTGTATCTGAGTCTCGGTATGAATAGTTTGTGCCATACGCTTATAGGACCGAATTACCCGAGATGGTGTCTCCTCTTTGTTTTTGGAGGGGTTCATTGCCATAGTGGGACCAGTAGGAGGAAGGCCTAAGATCGGTGCAGACATTGTCGATGAACTTGGTGCCGAGGAAGCAAAAGCAATGTCAGAGTGAACAAGAGCTTGGGATGTGGTTGAGTTAACATTCTCCGATGACCCTGATGGTGCACTACTAGGAGAGAAATGCACAATGGAAGGCTTAGAACGACTTGACGATCCAGGAGTAGTGGGAGGTGGCACTCTTAACCATTCACCAAACTGATCATCCGAAACCGAATCAGAGGAAACCTGAGGACAAACAGCAATAACATGACCAACAATCCGACACCAGAAACAGAAGGCAGGCAACCGTTCATATTTCAATAAACAGAGTCTTGGTTTACCATCTGTCCGTCGGTCAATCGGAAGACAACGACGTAGAGGCAAAGAAATATCCAAGCCAACCCAAAGTGTAAGATATGTGCCCATTCTATCATAATTTTAGGACCATGGTTTCAAATCGCGGTCGCGTTTTCGGTCATTTCAGGTTAACCGTGATTGTGGCCATTGCGGGCGCTATTGGACTCTATTGCGAGTGTAGCGGGTAACTCGGACGGCGGTAAAACCGCTATTTCGCAGGCGCTATCACGTTTTCGGACCGTGATTTGAAACCCTGCTTAGGACATCCAACCAAGAGGTAAATCATATACACGAACCCATAAATCCACCTGCAAGAAGTTGTAATCATTAAGACTGCGTAGCGGATCATAAGCAACCAATGCAAGATGATCACCATTGAAATACCAAGGCGAGCGATCGAGGACAAACTTCATAGCATCAGTCAAGTTGAATTTGAAGAGAAAATGCCTACCCTCCAGAGCAGATATATCAAGAACTCTACTGACACCCCAGATTGTCCGGAATGGAGGGATCATTATAAAATCGATGATTACATTTACTAAGAGAATAAAGTAACATTTTTTTTCTTGATTAAAATATTAGTTAAATAAAGTCTCTGTCCTACTTCAATTTGTAAATTTAAATACTTAATTTATTATTCTTTTGATATAAATTTACTTTACTCCCTTAACATTTGATCTTGGCTTCGTCTCTGAAAATAACAGTGGTGAAATAATTTATTTTGAAGAATAATTGAAGTTATTTTATGGTAAAATATTCTTAGAGAATTAAATTGTGTATAAATGACTAGATGTATCATCCATTAAGGATGTTTCGTCTTAAAAAATAACTTTAATTTTTTCTCTAAGGGATGACTAAGGGAAGAGCGAGCAGAAGACGGTCGTCTCTCAAAAATTAAAATTATTATATATTTTAATTTTTTATATTTTTTATTGAAAATATATTTTTGTCTCTCTGGAATTTTAAAAATTAAATTTTAGAAGTCCGTCTTCCAAAACATAAAATTTTACGTTCGTCCCTGATGAAAAAATCCTTTATAGACCTCTAATTGTGAAGAGAACTTTTTTGATAAGGATCTTAATTACTATTTTCGTACAATGAGATTAGAAGTGCAATATATTTTATTTCATTTATACTCTCTTTGTGTCATGTTTTGAAGGAGAGAACGATTATCTAATTGTTTTATTTTTTCTTATTCCGCAAAGCATGAGTACATAACTTGTTCGTAGGTGGATGCAATTGCGTACATGATAGACTCATATGACAAGGAGATGTTTCCCGAGTAGAAGAGGAGTTGGATGCTCTCCTCTCTTATGAAGCCTTGACTAACGTTTCATTTCTCATCTTTAGTAACATGATTTGTTGCGGAAGACGGCTATCGGATAGAGTAAAAATACAACTGATAATTTGAGAAAATAAAAATTAAAGATAAAAGAGACACAAAATTTACGTGGAAAACCCCTAAATTTTATAGGGTAAAAACCACGGGCAACGGTAGAAGAATTTTACTATGAGAAAATAGGAATTACAACCTCTCTCGATCTACCAATGAGAAAACAATGATAATTCTCTCTTGATAAAAAGGAGAAAACAACTCTCAAGAAGCTCTCTAAATTCTTTCTAGTATTGGAAGAAAGCTAGAATGCTTTGGGATGATTTTGAAGCTAAATGAGCTAGGGTATTTATAGTTGAAGCTTTAAGTATTAATTTGTAAATACCCTAAATTATAATGACTAAAATTGAGGTTTACCCATTCCTAAAAAATCAACAAAAAACAGCCCACTTTCGGTGCCCCTATATTTGACAAAATTCATTCAATTTTCTTCAACTTGCACCGAAAGTCATTTTGACTTTCAACATGATTGGCATCTTATATTTTGTCTCGGAAGACGAGTTATGATTTCTCTTCGGGCTCACTAATTTCACGACATGAAAAGATAAGGTCAATTTGAGAGATTTGAATGATCCTCGAGGTGGTCATGTGTAGTATTTTCCCAAAAAAAAAATGAACTACAAAGATGATTTCAGGTGGCTTTCTCGATACATTAAGTATGTAGAAGTACATGAAGTTTAGCTTGCTTTCTTTATCAAAATATAATATTAAATATCGATCAATGATCAAAATATAATGTTAAATATCGATCAATGATCAAAATATAATGTTAAATATAATTTAAAAAGATTATTAGATGACCAAAACATAATCTCGAGAATAAGTGAGTTATCAAATATGTAATTTATCCTATAAACAAAAATCTTAGTTTATCTTGTTAGATTTTTTTTAAAGAGACTTGTAAACTACTTAAATATTTATATATATATATATATATATAAAAGAATTAATTTAATACATGTAATTTTTAAAACTTACTTTTTCCTTTTATTTTTTAATTCTATTAGACAATGAATAAAAATAAAATTACATTTTCATTCAATTTTTCTATCCAAAGTTTATTTATATTGAATATTTAATAACATTTCGTAATTGAAATGCAAAGGGGATGTAGCTCAGATGGTAGAGCGCTCGCTTAGCATGCGAGAGGTACGGGGATCGATACCCCGCATCTCCACTACTAGTTTTGTGCGGACTTTTTATTCTCACTCTGTGATTAACCCAAAAATATTCTTTTTGTCTGTCTCTTTTATTTCTTCTCCCTGAACTTCACTAATAATTTCTTCTACCTATATTTCCATTTTGTACAGTTGTTTCTGCTTTTCTTGGCAAATCTTTGGATTTTCTCTTCATCAGATATCGCTGTGACAAAGATGATTTGTCAAAAATATTCAACTGCATGACATGAGTGGTTTGGCGTCTGATTCATGCCAATGTTTCGAAGATGGCAAAACTTGACAAAGAATTTAACATGACACGATGGAGGAGAGAGGGTCAGTCAAAATCCAACCTTTGCATGGTCCTGATCAAACTTCTTCAGTATGTAGCAACAGTAACCATGCTGGCAAAACAACCATAAACGTCAGCAAATTAAATATACAACTTGCTCAAATGGCTACAACCCCAAACCAGAGGAAGAGTAAGCTAACAGGAATGTATAAAATTTTGAACTTGGAATGGGTGGGGTTATTATTTTTTCTTTCCACCAAATCTCCCTCTTACCCAGCAGCCATGTTATTCAGATTAGGACGTAAGCGTGTCTAATGCAAGTATATTGATTTCTTTCTACATTTTTCTATGCATTTAATGAATCTTTGGAGGATCATTTTTCTATGCGAGAGGTACGGGGATCGATACCCCGCATCTCCACTATTATTTTTCAAACTTTACGGTAACCCCATCGAGGAATAATCTGGGACTAAAGGCCTTTAGGAAGTCTGGGACTAAAGTTTTCATCCCTTCCGTGTGCTGCTGCTGATGATGATGATGATGGCCGCCATGCCTCAGTTCTTCTCCCGGTCTTGTGAATGGCCTTCACCACCGCTTTGCGATCCACATATCCCAACGCTGTGATATTAGTTGATACCCTGTTTATTTCCACGCATTTTGCTCCTACATATATAAAACCATCAAAAGCAAACCCTTTGAAGTCTTTCTTTTTTCTGATATTTCTCTCAACTCTACTTGTATTTTTGTTCGGCCATCTATCTATATATAGAAAAGGAGTACATGGATACCATTGACGTTGAGCAAGGATTTCCTGACAGCTTTCTCGCAAACTTTGCAGTGTAAACGTACCTTGAATTCAACCACCTGCAACATCAAAAACCAGATTAGCTACCTGCACAAGTAGGAAGATAAATTTGGGGAAGTTAAGAGAGGAAAGGGGGAAAAACCTCCATGGTGTTTATCATTCTTTACACAAGACTCAATGTGGTCCATGACTGCCTCCACAAAGTAGTTTTTGATCAATTAAAGCAGGTTAAACTAAAGCAACGATCACTTGTTTGGATAAATTTCCTTTTCATCATTAAAGTTTAAAAAGTTGTGTTATGGTCACTAATATTATAAATGTAATCAATTTTAGCCACAATTTAATCTGAATATTATTTTTGTTAACAATAAGTATTCATAATAAATGTAATCGTGGAATAAAGTGAAAACCCTTTGGACTCCAGAACATCGTTTTTTCTACATTCCACCTTCCATTGCCATATATATATGTGTGTATATATATAGACATATATGCTAGCTATACAATGAATTATAACAAGGAGAAAAGGGATGCCCTGAGATTAAGAGGGCCTTAAAGCAGTAAATCAAAAACTAATTCATCAACTAAGCAAGTTAATATAGTTTTCTCAACCTCTAAACCCTCTTCAAACGCTTCCATATCAAAATCAAGCCATCTCTCTTGCTTTGTGTTCATATTCTTGCCTACAAGGTCGTCCACCACCAAAATGCTCCCCATCTTTCTCCAATCCAATATCTCTTTGTATAACTCTTCCGCTAACCATCCTTTGTTTTGGATCAATTCTCCCCACTTATCCCATCCTTTGCAGCTTCCGACAAAAACCTGGTCGTACTGTGACTCCAGGGATTCACTCATGCAATCGAGTAAAAGTTTTAGTTCCAGCTTGTTGTGATCTTCTCTGTGTCCTTCAGTTCTGTTTCGATGCTCGAGCTGATTGACAGCATTCAGGGTCACGATATTATTGGTCTGACCCAATGCATATTGTATGAACTTTAGCTTAGAGTCTTTTAGCACCATTTTCACATAATCGAGTTTGGAATTGGTCGACTCTTTATAATATGTTGATTTTGATGTCGTCGTTAGAAGCTTCCCGTCCGCTTCTCCCACGATCTGGGAAGACTTGGCTCCAGGGGACGAGCTTAACACGTCTTCTTCGGGAGCCAAATGCATCATGCCTGCAAATATAGATTGTATGTGGTCAATGCAGCAACTTAATTACCGAGTTTACGTATTAATCATCTTGCAAACCTAAACAAGTTACATTGATGCAAACCTCATATTGTTTCTAGCTGAATATAAAATATAATGAAATTGGTCGAGTGTAAGAAACTTGAGTCCCAAGGAAATAAGAGTACAGCTTACCACTGGTACTATCTCCGCTATCAGCGAAACCCTCACTCGTGGCAGAAAGTTCAAGTGTTGAAAGTGCACTAGGATGTTGAAGATCTACTTCTACGCCAGTCTCGCTGCTGCTGTTGCTAGCATTTCGATCTTCAATTACTTCTGAAAGCTGGAATCATTCGATAAACTTAAGCAACACATGTCATTATATAAGTAAATGGTAGCAGTGAGTGAGTAAACCAAACCTCCCACTTCGTTCTCCATTCAAGCTCCGGTTTGTCGATCGAAGAGCGGTTTAATTCAGCGGAGCTATGTGATATGTCCTTCTCTAGATCCACCTGAAGTAATTCGTGATGTCCCGTTGATGTAGTTGTCAATGTACCCAATGGGAGCTCTGAAATTTTCTGACTGGATGCAGGACTACATGAGGCCTCCTCTAAAATGATATTGCAATTGGATGACTCAACTCTATATGTCAATTCCTCGAGCTTTCCCCCTACAATAACACTCATAGCATCCCTGCCGATTATATTAAGATCGAGTGAAGAATATCCTAAGCTTTTAAAGACCAGTGGATCATTGTCACCAGAAGGATCACCATCAAAGTTGCAGCTCGTTTCCACAACATGACTTGTGGAAGGTACATTGGGCATGGATATTTTGATGGGGGATGTAAATGTAAATGAAACAACATCCATGCTTGTATTCGTTCTAACTGCATCTAGATTAGAGTTCCCATCAGTTGTAGTAACATTACATTTGATGGACCTTTCACCGCCATTCATCGATGAATTTTTCGAAACTGTTCTTCCGGATAGAAGATCCTCATTTACAGGCTGTTTCTTTATAGACGAATTCTTTCGTCTAGACATGAAAAGCTCCTTTGAAGGACCAGTTGCGGAGGAGCTCACGTTCCTGGATTGAGATTCGGAGTTGACTGTCACCTTGCTTATACTCCTTCTCAACCCGACCATACCATTCACGGACCTAGCCTTTCTACCTTGCTGGTCCAGAGTCGAAGTCTTTGATGTCGAATTGTCTCGATTAGATATGCGGTTCTGCTTCTGATTATTCTGCCTCAGGACATTGTTAATCCTATACGCAGAAGTTCCGTTCTCCGCATTCTTTCGCACATCTGCCTGTCTCCTAGAATAATGTTTTCCTTTAGCATCATTCCCTTCCTTTGGATTTACAGGACCCCCATTACCACTTGAAAACGACCCCTCTTTCCTCCGAACATTAACCCTTGCTTGTTCTGCAAGTAAGACTGGTTTCCCCTTACTCCTCAAACTGTTAGAACTACCTTTTCCCGAATCCGATGTACTGTGACTCTTGCCCTTACGTTGTTCTTTCAAAGACTTCGCTACATTCCGACTAGGCTCATCAGGTCTTTGAGGTCCGGATACCTTATGTGTGACTTCAATTTTCTCTTTCAAATCCCGGATTTTCAAAGGAACTGAAGAAGACTGAAACGACGGCACTTTATGTTCGGAAGTTGTCCTAGGACCAACCTCGATAATCTTTGCAGCTGCCTCCATTATATAAGCTGCATTCTTGGTTGGTATGAACCCCGGACTCTTGACACGAGACAAGAGCTTATGGTGAGTTATTGCGACTGGTTTTACCGATTTCTGGGGCAATATTTCAGTCTGAAATCTCTCAATCATACCGTTCTGCACCTTACAAAACCTCAGTTCAATCGGACTTGAGGACGACCAATCAAGCTTGTTAGAGATGCCGGTGTGGTCCATAGGTCGATAGCTCCGAGACGTTCGGTGTAGGCAACGAGTGTAACCCCATGAGCCTAGCAACAAGTCCAGGTGCTCTAGATCCACATCCTTCATCACTAGTCACCGAGGAAGCAGAACTAAAATCAGCACAGCATGTATTACTTGAAGTGCCATTGTAGTCATCCTCATCCATCTGGTAAAAGAATACAAAAGTGAACAATATAGTCTGATACTCAAAATCTTACCCAAACTACAGTACAGCAAAAGGAAGAAGTGGCGGAAATTGCACCCTATAAGGCGACGATCTCAGTCGATTTCCCACTGGTTTTCCTCTCTTTGATTCTCCTGCAGTCCGAAATATAAAAAAGTTTGTGCATGAACTACAAATATATTCGAGACAAAGTCTGGAATATACATACAGATGAAGAACAGATAGATGTATATACCCGAGATTTCATCATTGTTTGAGAACAATTTCTTTCGAGATTTACCATTCCAATCAAACAAATGAAGAAGCCCTCCCCTCGAATGTTTCTTTTCTACCTCCATTATCGCATCTATAAACCAACAAAACTTGAATATTTAAACCCCAAAACGAAAAGGGAAATCGAATCATCAAACAAAGTCCATGTAGAACAATAATTTTCACTCTCATTTGCTCAATGCATCATCTCTCAAGCAAGAAATTGAAGAAAGTGGAGTTTTTTCTGACAAAAACTACATGAACAAGACAATCAGATCTCAATGATCCAACATGTAAGAAAAAACCATCACCTTGAATTCTTCAAAAGCTGCCTAAATTCATGATCCGAGCACCAAGATCCTTCTTTTGACACAATGGAGATCATGAAAACAGGTAAATCAATCCGGGTGTTCTTCAAATTGAACAAAGAAGCTCAATCTTATTACAACTCAAATCCAAGCACCATTTTTGGTTTCTTCCATGTATGGTAAGGATTTCTTTTTCCTTTTATTGCGACAACTAAAATAATAGTAATAAAATAATGGATTTGGTTTTTAAGTAGGAAATGGACAGAAAAGAAAGGTCCAAGTCTGGAGAAAAAGATATTTTAGTGACAATAGTAGAGATACTTAGAGACAGATTCAGTTGATACCAGATAAGATACAGAAATCCGATTATAAAAGAAACTGTAAAAAAAAAGAGTAAGAAATGTCTGTTTGGTCTGAGTTCGAGCAGTAAATATTGCAGAAACGTTATTACAATACAAAACCCAACTCTGCTACTGGAAATTTAAGAAGCCCCTAGTGAAACAAATCAATTAATTACCCTTGTCTCGTTAATTTCTTCTGTAACTCTTTCACCAATGGCCATGCCACATGGAGCAGCTTTACCATGAGCGTCCAGTTTTCCTCACTGCTTGGAAGATGACCAACAAACACTGTTATTTGTTTTCCTCACATTTTGAAAATTCAATCTACTGCATGGGTTCCACGTGGTTCACCATTCCACTTATTTATCTCCCCCAACCACAGTGTTATGTCTTAAAATTCATTTCCAGATACCACCTTGCAAATTTAAAGCAGTAATTCCTTTTAAAAAAAAAACCCTATTCCTTTGTCTGGTCTATAATCCGTGATTACATAACAAAAAGGGAGTCAGCAAAATATAAGATGAATTTTAGTTTTTACTACCTTAAGCAAAGGCCTTATAGGTTCCCATGATTACATTAGTGGGTTGTTAGGTTGTCAATCAATGTCAAATCATATCACAATCTTTCTCCTAATTGGAGGGAAAAAGTATCATCACATCAATTGCATGTGCTATTTCTCAAATTATACGACAAGTATGGGATTCAAATGTCAATATCAGCAATCTCCATTTATCACAAGAAATCTTGATACAGTACAAAGCCTAGCTGCAATGTACACGAACATTCATGCCTTCAACTACAAAATAAGTCCTGAGATTTGTACCATATTTACAGGCTTTCCTGTCAAGCATAAACCCTTGACCCTAGCATATCAACCTGTTGAGAATGAGTTAAGATCGCCCTTCCTCTGTCGCAATTGAAAACAATTTATAACCATGCTGCAATGTGATTGGTGTGGAAACCAAAACTCTCATGGCTCGTGGTCCTCGACTCCCGGTTCATTTCTAGGTCTAGATTCGTTTTTAGACTTTATTGGATTATCTACGTGAGAAACCTGCAAAATAATCTAAAATAAGACTCGGATGGTATTAACCGGCCGTTAAACATAGGAGCATTACCATGCACTTACAATATGAGATTTCCACTCGATTTTGCCATGGTTGTCTAATGCATTAGCGATATGGGAATGGTCCCGTACACAATAGAATATTTCAATAAGAACAACAGCATCTAGAGCAGCATACTCGAGCTGAACAAAAAATCAAGAAATTTCCGAAAATGTAAACACAGTAGCGATATCTTGCTTTATTTAAGCTGCAAATAGGAAAGTTTAAGGAACACTCGTGGGTATATACCTGATTCTGAGTCAATGGTCTTTGTTCCCAGTCGCTATTCCGTCTTGTTTTGTTTAAGCCGGCTCCCAATATTTTCTGAGTGGGAGGAATTGTGAACCATTAAATTATTTGAATAGGAAGTTGGACAGGAAGCATAAACTCAAATTTCATGTTTAGCTTACCTCTGCAAGACCGGAGAGGCCACCTCGGGGATCTTTGAACATATTTTGGATGTCCAATAGCATATTATAGCACTTGAAACACTTTAAATCTCCATAGGATTGAGCTAGTTTCTTTAAATCACAGTGAAAACTATAACCTATAACATGTGCACCATGTTAAAAGAAGGCAGATGTACAATCAAGAACACAAACTTTCGTGTGTGTATCAAGATGGTTTCAATATATCAGACAAGATGACTTGAAAAGAAGAAGATCTCCCTCTTGAGAAAAAGACAGATTCTCTCATACCAAGTTTTAGAATTCTTGAGGACTGCAAGATGCGGGTTAGGCAGTTGTCTAGAACAGCAGGCACATCCTTATATAATTTTATCAAGTCAAAGATGAAAACCTTCTTATCTGAAGCTATTTGCATGATAGAAACCTGAAATATGGAAACCCAGATTAATTGTTTAAGGACAATTCGATCAGTCATCATAATTCATAATTGATAAACAAAAAATGCAAAACAAGTCAATTATGGTTACACTCATTTCAACTTTGGTTCTAAGCAAAAATGTTCCGAGGGCCAGACCTATATCAATCTAGAGAGATCGCAAACCATGGGAAATGGAAGATGATACCATGCTTACCTTGTTTGGTTTGCTGTCTTTTACATAATTGGGTTTCCATTCACAGTCAAGGCCCACAACTTTGGATCCCTCAATGTGGCATGTAGCCTCACCAAGACCATTAGTTCGTCCACCCATATTACGGCTTCTACTAGCAATTCATTGAGATTTAAAAAGCGATGAGGCAGAAAACTTGCTTCATGTTCTGAACAAACCAATAACTAGAAGCATGAGACTCTGCCTTTCACATAATCATCAAAGAAGCCTACAAAATCTATTTACATCTAAAAGTTGTGCACCGAGTCTGAATAAACACAAAGCACTATAGTTGGTATTAAGTTATAAGTTTTGGTACACATTCATACCCTAGGTATCATGTTCCTTTATTTCCAGAAACAAGGCCTCTTAGTGACTTTACCTTGTGCTTTTGGAAAAGCTTCAAGGGAGTAACGATCACACAGTTCATCAACCTTCTCAAAGTAACCAACTTCAAAGGCCAGATAAACCTAACACCCAGAAAGTAAATTCTTTAACATCCATAGCAAGTGTTCAAAATCAACAACGTATAGAAACATACAAGTATATGAGAAATTTGAGAAAACAAATGAGCTGGCAAAAACTCCAAAGCTCCATTTCATGTTAAACAGATTTTTGAAAATGATATATCATCCATACTTACCAGATACTCAACTAATTGTCTATCACCATTTGCCTTGGCCTCTGCCACATCCCAGCATGCTTTTTCTGCCAACTTTTTTAGTGCGCTACAAAATGGTAAAATAATAGTATCATAATCCATATTTACTGTTTTCAACACCTCTACTCCAAGCCGTTTCTGGGATCAGAGACGGGCGGAGCATATTGCCAGTGTAGGGAGTAAGACATTTGCAGGTACCTTTCTTTGTATTTGTGATGCACATCTGGGAATTCTTGCTGGAGATTGTTCTTCTTTACAATCAAATAAGCAAACTTTAGCTTGTTCCTGTGAACATGCTCCTGGACGAGTATAGATAACATTGGTTGCCCCATAAACGTTGCCCACTTCTCTGCTGCTCGGAATTCCTTGTTTTCTATCATTTTGAGAAGAAAAGATTGCCCGGATTGACGGATAGATAAATGATCCAACAGATTCACTGCTTCCGTATATGACTGTGATTCTATCAATCCAAATATATACTGCTCAACAAATGTCTTTACACTGTGAAACCTGTGGTCATTCTTGGCCTTTGATTGGGACGCAACTTTCTCAATATCTGTCAATCTTACATCAAACACTTCGAGTATCTTCACAGCAATCCTCTCGTCATGGTCAATAAAACCCTCAACAATATCAAGAAATAACTGTGCAGCTAAAGATTTTGCTTCCGAAAAGTCTCCGGTGGTGACTTCTGTCTTTAGAGAACGATGAAAAGAAGATACGAGCAAATGACTGAAGCCTTCACAGTATGATCCAAAAATAGGCAGGATATAGAGACAATGAGCGACAAAAGTTGCTGGTCCTGGTTGGGAAGCATTACTTAGAACATGTTGAACTTCTTGTTGAAGAGCTCGGAACTTTTTAGTTGCCTTGAAGCTTCCTGTCAAATGATTCCAGGCAATGAGAACAAACAAGAAAAAAGGCAGGGAAAACCACTGCATTATAACTAATTTCTTGCAACTCAATAAATAAGGCGGGAAAACTGTTAGAAATCAAACTCAATGCCAGCACGAAGAATGTAGAAACAATCACAAGTGGAGCAATATAAATCACAAGTGTATGGAGGCAAACATAATTTTAGAATTATTTGAAACGTGGCAAAAAGAGAACTTTTGAAAGCTAGGTGAGCAGCAAAACACTTGGATTATTAAAGATTTTTGGCAGCATGCTGCTTAATAATTAAGGAAAAAACATGGCATTAAAAGAAAATTAAGGAAGAATCTAGTCTTCTACAAGTCGGTTATATAACCTATATATATATGTGCGCGCGCGCGCTTAGTTTTTAGTTTATGTGTGTGAGTAACTAGTGAAAGAAAAATATTAGAGAGAATTGAGAGAGAGCTTAGCAAAGTTATAAGGTGATTGTAAACTAGTTGCAGCTAGTATTGTAATATTGAGATAATGTCGTTGTAACGTATTTTGTTTCGTATTAATAATAGTTCGAGTTATATATTATTGAGTGCCCATCTACGATTTCAACAAGTGGCCTCAAAGCTTGGTTCGAGTTTAACGTGGTGAAAAAGATAGCCAACATGATTGAACCTTAAATCCCGAGATTGATAAAGACGAATTATGACAATTGGAGCATTCAAATGAAGGCGTTACTAGGCTCCCAAGATTGTTGAAATATCATCGAGGATGGTTACACCGAGCCTGAAAATGCAGCATCAGAAGCAACCTTGACCAATGAAAAAAAGAAGGTATTGAAGGAATCCCGGGGAAAAAAATAAAAGAGTGTTGTTCTTTATTTTTCAAGGAGTAGACGAATCTACCTTTTAAAAAATTTCTGATGCGAAGACTGCAAAACAAGTGTGGGAGATTTTGTAAAAATCTCTACAAGGTGCCGAAAAAATAAAAAAATGTACACTTACAAACTCTCAGAGCTGAGTTTGAGATGTTAAAAATGAAAAATACAGAAACCATCAATGATTATATTAGTCATGTGAAAGCGGTCGTGAATGAAATGAATAGAAATTGTGAATCACTCGACGATGTTAGAGTGATGGAAAAAATTTTGCGGTCATTGACAAGAAAATTTGATTACGAGGTTGTGGCAATCGAAGAATCGAAAGATTTATCTCAAATATCGATTGATGAGCTTGTGGATTCACTTCAAGCCCATGAGAAGAAAATAAAACATAATAGAAGATTCTGAAGCACCTCCCACAGAAGTTCGAAGATCCACAAGAGAGAGAATAATACCATAAAGGTACAACGATTATGAATTAAATAATGTCTCACTTTTTTGCTTACTTGTTAATAGTGATCCAATAACATACGAAGAAGCGGTTGAAGATGAAAAATGGAAGAATGCAATGGATAAAGAAATTGCATCAATAGAAAGAAATGATACATGGGAGCTAACAAGATAACCAGAAGGTCATAACCCAATTGGAGTAAAATGGCTTTACAAGACTAAGACCAATAAAGAAGGAAAGGTCGAGAAACATGCTAGTTGTCAAAGGCTATAAGCAAAGACAAGGAATAAACTATGATGAAGTATTTGGCCCAGTAGCAAGGATCGAGACCATCAGACTTCTCACAGCAATTGCAGCACAAAAAGGATGCAAAATTTATCAAATGGATGTAAAGTTGACATTTATAAATGACTACCTAGAAGAAGAAGTTTAAATTGAACAACCACCTAGATATATTAAAAAGGGGCACTAAGACAAAGTTTACCGATTGAAAAAGCTCTATATAGTTTGAAGCAAGCCCTGAGAGCATGGAATAGGAGAACTGATGAATATTTCCAGAAAAAATGGGTACATGAAGAGTCCACACAAGCATGCCTTATACACAAAGAAAAATGAAGATGGTGATATCATGATCGTGTGCTTATATGTAGACGACATGATTTTCATAGGAAATAATCCATGTATGTTCAATGATTTTAATAAAGCTATGACTAAAGAATTTGAAATGACATATATTGGAGAAATGTCATACTTCCTTGGAGTTGAAGTGAAACAAATGCAAGACGGAATATTTATATCACAAAAGAAGTATGCAGAAGAAATTTTAAGAAAATTCATAATGGAATATTGCAAGCCGGTAGCCACTCCAGCAGAACCAGACATCAAATTAAGTGTGAATTCAACAAGAGAACAAGTAAATCTGACGTTGTTTAAAAGCATCGTTGGAAGTCTAAGGTATATGACTACCATACAACCAGACATAACATACGCTGTGGGATTGGTAAGCAGATTCATGGAGAATCCGAAATTAGATAATTGGATTGCAGCAAAATGAATCCTCAGATATGTCAAATGAACAACATATAATGGTTTGTTCTACACGCATTCAGAAAATTCAAAGCTGGTTGGTTATTCTAATAGTGACTATAGGGGAGACTTAGACGATCGAAAAAACACATCTGAATATCTATTTTATATCAGCTCTGCAGTATTTTCATGGTCATCAAAGAAGCAACAAACGGTAGCTCTTTTAACATATGAAGCAAAATACATAGTTGCAGTAGCGTGCACTTGCCAAGCAATATAGTTAAAGAATATTTTGAAAGAGCTAAATTTGGCACAAGAAGAACCAACTACAATTTATGTCGACAAAATATTTACAATTTCCCTTACCAAGAATCCAATCTCCTATAGCCGAAGCAAGCTGTTGAGTTAATCGATCGACGAATTGGCCAAGAATGAGGTAAATTGGCAATAAAAATTTCGGTGGAAGCTTTTGCAAAAAATAGAAAATATTTGCACAGTGATTTAGAGTGGTTCGACTTTCTCAACCAAAGTTTACGTCCACTACCTTAGCTATTCACACTAAGGATTTTCCAACAAATTCACTAATTTGTTCTTTCTTTTGAAGACAAAGAGTAACCTTACAACTTCCTCAAGAATTATACCCCAAATTCTTGAGAACACTCTCTCCCAAAGAGAAGATTATAAATTTCGCGAACTTACAGAAAACCTCACAAGGCAAGATGTTTACATAATTCTAGAAAAAAGAAACAACACTCAAGAATGAATATAATTGAGTACAAATGGTGTTCTTGAAAGCAAAATGAATATTGAATGAAAATAGGCTTGAATTGCTCAAACTTGATGTTTAAGGCTTTCTCTTTGTTTCTCTCTCAATTCTTGTTGATCAATGGCTTCATAACTTGTTTAAATACACATTGGATTGATTCTAGCTGTTGGGAATCATTTGAGTGATGTTAGAGCCGTTGTAGTGTGAAAACCCTCTTGAAAAAGACTACTAGGAGCGTGGGGTATCAGTACACCCTTAATGGGTATCGGTACCTACAGTGTAAAATTCAAATATTTCTACCGTTAAATGACTAAGGGTATCGGTACCTCTAGGGGGTATCGGTACCCATTGGGCATTCTGTTTTTCTCGGAGCCAAAATTAACACAAGAGTATCGGTACCTATGACTTAGGTATTGGTACCTCCTTATTTAAAACTTATTTTTGGCTCGATTAAGGTTCGAAAGACTTTGTAAAAATTATTTCAAAAATATTTGAAGTATGAAACACAATTTTACACTTAAGTAAGGATTGACATTTGAAAACTTAGAGTAATATTTTTTATATTCGAATAATTTAATTGAATATATAAATTAAAATTCAATATAAAATCTTAAAAATCATTAACACTTTATTTGTCATATCAAAACATCAAAATGTTTTCAACAATCTCTCCCTTTTTGATATAACAAAACATTTAAGTAATTTTAAGATTTTCTTTGAAAATCATTTTTGAAATCAATTTTGAAGAATGAAAATTACTTGTACTCCCCCTTACTTTATTCTCCCATTTTTGTTAAATCAAAAAGACTCTAGAAAACGTTTTAAACAAGTTTTTGAAAATTCATCGATATTTAGATAAAGCTTAAACTGCTAAGATCACAATCAAGAGAAAGATTAACCATTAGTTCCATAAATCAATATTCATAAATAATGTGCAATGGAAATTGGTCATAATATGTCTAAAATGTAAATGGTGCAAAAACTAATAAAACCAATATAAATCAAAATTAAAACAATCTAAACCAAATATATATAAAAACATTCAAGTTCAAACATCCATATCATTCAAAATATATCAATCCAAACATATCCAAAATGTTTTAACAATTAAGTTCTAAGTTCAATCCAAGAAAACTAAGCAAGGCAATGTTTAATCATCCATAGGTGGATTGGGAGGAGGAAAATGTGCTTGCATAACGACCATCTCAAGTGTGAGCGCATTGATTCGTTTGTTCATTATTTTGTTGTTCGCGCGTATCTCCCGCAGAATTTCCAATTGTTGAGCCCCTATAGTGGTTAAATGGGACTCTATAGATGCAAACCTCAAATCAAATGACTCCAAAAACGATCGAAAGTATGGAGGCATTTGATATTCTTGTTGTGGTGGCTCATCATCAGGTATGTGATCATCAATATCCCGTATAAGTGCTTCAAATTCTGGATCATCGTCTGCAGCCGGTGTCGATTGAGCTTGTGAAGAGCTAGCTCCAGGAGTTTTATCGGTAAATCAAACCCATTGGTCATTTTCCCTTTTCCATCCTGATTTCTTTAAAGATGTCAAGTTAATTTCGTTTTTAAGAGGGACGACTACATCAAGCCATACCTTAAGCTTGGCTTTGATAAACAAGTTACTCAGAAGACAACTGTAAACTAGAGTTTCAACAAGTTTTTTATTAGGGACACTGTTTACGGTTTCAACGAGTTCAACAAAGATAATTTGTGGTAGGTTTATTTTCCTATTTTTCTGGATACAATATATCCACCATAGGTCTAAATCTCTAAGAGTGGAGTATTTACCTCCATATGGTCTAAACCACCAAGAGATGATCAGATGAAGAAAATGATCGTGGTGATCTAACACACTCGCACTCAACTTGGCTTTGTAAGGAG